GAGAAAGAAGAGAGAGAGGAGAGAGAAGAGAGAAGAGAGAAGAGAGAAGAGAGAAGAGAGAAGAGAGAGAATAGAGAGAAGAGAGAGAAGAGAGAGAAGAGAGAGAATAGAGAGAAGAGAGAAGAGAGAAGAGAGAGAAGAGAGGAGAGAGAGAGAGAAGAGAGGAGAGAGAGAGAGAAGAGAGAAGAGAGGAGAGGAGAGAGAGAGAAGAGAGAGAAGAGAGAGAAGAGAGAGAGAGAGAATAGAGAGAAGAGAGAAGAGAGAAGAGAGAAGAGAGAGAGAAGAGAGAGAAGAGAGGAGAGAGAGAGAGAGAAGAGAGGAGAGAGAGAGAAGAGAGGAGAGGAGAGAGAGAGAAGAGAGAGGAGAGAGAGAGAAGAGAGAGGAGAGAGAGAGAAGAGAGAGAAGAGAGAGAAGAGAGAGAAGAGAGAGATTTTTTTTTAAAGGTAAGAAACAATCTTTACAAGCAGCTTGTGTAAAAATAACAATATTTATAAGACATGGCACAAGTGTAAATGTTATTTTATACCTGAGGGTTCTAAAACTATTTCAAAAGGTGAACTCGAGGATAAGCAAATATTGTCTAACTACAAGAGTCATGTGTCTTGTTACTTGAATCTTGGAGTGCTTTGTGTATTTCTTCCAGATCTGTGCACTGTGAGAATACCTCTGCACAGGGGCGCCCTGTAATAAAGACCAGTCACTGCTGCTCTCTCCTTGTGGAGGCTGACTGGTCTTATATCCATGCTCCTCCTGTCATTCTTTGCAGCCAGTTTGTAGCAGGTAGGGCCTGCTGTCCCCCTCCCACAGCTCTGCTCTATGTACAGCACAGCGATGATGTCACTGCCACTTCTACAAGATAATAACTAAGTTTGAAAATCATTTGGTACACACAAAGTAGATGTATATCCTTTGTGGCGATTGAGAAATATATGTAAATGAAAGTTTTTGTGCTCGGAGTATAGCTTTAGACATCTGCATTAAAAAAAAAAATCAATGTGTAATAAAGGTAATGTGTGTATGTGCAGCAGCATACTAAAAGTTAGTTGTTGGGTTCACATGGTCTCTAATAGTCCGGGTTCATGGCTGAAAGGTGTGGATTGTCCAATGCCGACACTTATTACAAATGAAGAGGCTACTTGGATGAACAGTGAAAGGTCTCCAACAATAAAGAAGTCCAGCTGAATGTGACTAACTAGTACTAGGTATACCATGACCTGGAAATGCATGGATCTCCATTGTTTCCTTATAGGTCAGCATCAATCCTAATAGGATGTGAGTGCAGAGGAAATGCATAGCCCATGGCAGTGCCCCATGGATGTGCCAGGCTGACCTGTGCCCTGAACCCCACTTCTTGCCTGCCTGGCAGTATGGATGTACAAGGCAGCTCTGCCTGCTAGGTGATGCCCTCACACCCTATTCAGCTCTGATCTGCCTAGCATGGCCAGTCCCCCCCTACAGGGGGTATTATCTTCACCGGGCCAGTATCAGACAAAAGAAGAGCGAATATCTTTCCATCTCTCCACCCCCCCCTCCTCTTCCACACCATCCTTCCTTCCTTCCTTACCTCCGGTCCCGTCCGAGTTCTCGTTCAGGCTGCCCGAGGAGTCGTGGTGAGTGCCCACACACCCTCCCATGGGTGCCGGCGGGGGCAGCCTCGGCCGTTATCTCTCTCTTTGCCTTCACAGGGCGGGCGCGCTCACACTGCGCGGCACCAGGCGCAGGGACGAGGAGGAGGAAGGAGAAGGGCGCGGGAGCGCGCCGCAGACGTCACGGCCCTCCACTCCCCGCAATATCAGCGACGGTAGCAGCAGCGGTAGCCTCCTCCTGCCGTAGGCTGGTGACGTCACGAGCGACTCTGGTTCCCTACTAGTCGTTGAGCATGGACGGTGCCTGTGTGTGTTTGTGCGGCGTGTCCTATTGGTTGTGTGAGGAGGATGGGTCCCAGCATGTGCTGCTTTTCTGCCACATTCCACAGCCTCAGCTGTAATTCATCAGTGGGCTAGAAAAGAATAGATGGCTCGGAAATTGTAAGAAAGTCTGTGTGAAACTACAGTGAAATAAGAAAGTTTATAATAAGTGTAAATTACATTTCTTGTTTTCGTATGGAAAGTCATTTAGATATTCAGTTTGCGCAGTAGAAAGTGTAGCCCCTACCACCTTCAGTGGAGTGGCTACTAGAAATGTAGCGATTGCCAGAGCTGTAGCCGGTCTGACTGAATTATAGTTAGCATCTAACTGGTTAATTCCAGGCATTGATTGTACCTACCTGGGTGGAATGTGACTCTGCTGTAGTGTGGGACAGCCAATGGTGGACATTGTGATTATGTGTGCAGTCAACCACCCAATTACTGGAGCTCTCGTAGCCAGTGGTGCATGCTGGCAGGGCCGGCCTTTGGGGTGTTGCGCCATGGCAACAAGGGAGCCAGGCGGCCAACACAGCTCTTCCTTGGGGCGGCTACAGCCTGCGGCTTCTCTCCTCACTGCTCGGCCATCCAACATGACAATGCTCCCTCCTCCGCCCCCCCTCCCGCTTCAGCGATGTCCTTGGATCCCCACTGCCTGTATGGGCTGAGGCAGCGGCGTTCTCCGAGGTAAAACTGTGCGCTGAAGCCTGCGGGGGGATCGCAGAAAGGGAGCGGTGAGGGAGAGAGAAGCCGCAGCTTTCAGGATGGCCGAGCGGGGAGGAGATCGGAGCCGCTGTCATCCTGTCAGTTTCAGGATGGCAGCGGCTGTGTGCGGAGGATCGGTAAATATCAGTGGTATTTACTGGTCCTCTGTGTGTGCAGTACAAACACTGGAGTGATCATCTGATCACTTCAGTGTTTGTAAATAACTGGGGACACAAAGTACTATGTGTCCCCAGTTATGAATGAACAGGATGTGATTTACATCATTTTCTGTTCATTCATGAGTTTTTGAATGGGGAGTAGCACTCACTATAGAGGCTCCTGCCCATTCATAAACTGCTTGATAGTAAATATTTTACTATCACCAGTTTCTGAATGAATGGGAAGCCTCTGTACTGAGTGCTTTGCATTCATGTAGAACAGAGGATGCTGAAAAAGAGATTGAGAGCTTTGTGTCCTCAATTTCTTTTCTATTTTAATAGGTAAATGTCAGGGGTCTGTTTAGACCCCTAATATTTCCACGAAGCCCCCCAACAGTAAAAACAATAAAAAACATTTAAAAAAATATTTTAAAAAAGTGAAAATGACTCCCCCACACACACATATTATTAGACATGTGCAAAGAGTAAAAATTCATTTCAGATGAAATGAACGAAAACTAAAAACGTTTTCATTCGTTTCATCAAACAAAACATATTTTTATGCTATTTTGGATTCAGCCACTGGCGTGTTCTGGAGGCGGGGCGCATGACGTCACATGACACGGCACATGTTGGGCGCCGCCATCTTGGTGTATATCTAGGTATACACCAATATGGCGGCACCTATATCGGCGTGTGACGTCACATGACGCCACGCATGCATGGTGTTATGTGACGTCATGCTCCCCGCCTCCAAGATGGTGGCACGCATTCGCAGAACGCATCGGTGGCCCACATGGCCGCTGCGCATTCTTAAACAAATTATTATGTGCCCGAATACATTTTTCGTATATTCGGACATATACTAATTCATTCATTTTACATGTAGTCTAGGTTTTGTGTTCTGTTTTTTTATTTTTACTTTTCTAGATATACTTACTTGAAAAAAGGGATCGGCACGACAACCTGACACTTTATTTGTATAGACTCTATTTTAGTTTGACATTTATTGTTTTTTTTTGTGATAAGAATACTTTTATTGTGCCTACAAGTTTAATACCTTTTGAATAAAATAAAAGTTTTATTTTTATCATACTTTTTAATATGTTTCTTTGGGGCTTAACAAAATGGGAGTCTTTAAATGGTGCGGATATTGGAAAAAAATGGGTGTGATTACTGAGGGGTGTGGTCACTGAGGGGCACTGTAAAGTTTCTCGCACAGGGAGCCTAAAGGCCTAAGGCCGGCCCTGCATGCTGGGATAGGGCATATATACCCAAGGGAATTGCCATGTTTTCACCCCAGTTCAGGGATAGCCCAGTCAGGGCTGGGTACTATCCAGCCTTGCCCCGGACCTAGGCCTAGGGGTGGGAATACGTGAGTGTGGAAAAGGCTCTGTTAGGCCTCAAGCCTGGAGGAGGCTTCTGCTATTGGAGGAGGCGAACCAGGGAAGCTGCTGGAGGTGCCCGGAATAGAGAGCACCTCAGGAGTAAGTCTGGTGTCTCTCCTACTGAAGATGTGTGCCAATTCTGTGTCTGTTCTACCCCGGATGTCTAGGCCTCTATACCCTCTCTCCCAGTGTGGATATGTTAATAAAGTTCTTCAGCATCATACTTCTGGCCCGAATTTCAGCTCTGCGGGTAACTAGAAGAGGGCGGTTCATGCTAATGGGGCAGCTGGATGCTACAATCCCTAGACAGGCTATGGATGACGTGGGTTTATTTCCAGTGACTGCTTCGGGGGTGAGCGCTACAAATATATGTACTGATTGACAACTGATGTCCATATTATTGGTCAAGAACTAAACAAAGGGCCAATTTACTGTCCTTCAGACTTACTGGTGTCAGTGGGAGGAGGAATAGTGCCCCGTCACTGGTGTCAGTGGGAGGAGGAATAGTGCCCTGTCACTGGTGTCAGTGGAAGGAGGAATAGTGCCCCATCACTGGTGTCGGTGGAAGGAGGAATAGTGCCCCGTCACTGGTGTCGGCGGGAGGAATAGGGCCCCACCATTGGTGTCAGTGGAAGGAGGAATAGTGCCCCGTCACTGGTGTCAGTGGGAGGAGGAATAGTGCCCGTCACTGGTGTCAGTGGGAGGAGGAATAGTGCCCCATCACTGGTGTCGGTGGAAGGAGGAATAGTGCCCCATCACTGGTGTCGGTGGAAGGAGGAATAGTGCCCCGTCACTGGTGTCGGCGGGAGGAATAGGGCCCCACCATTGGTGTCAGTGGAAGGAGGAATAGTGCCCCATCACTGGTGTCAGTGGGAGGAATAGAGCCCCATCACTGATGACAGTGGGAGGAATAGAGCCCCCTCACTGGTGTCATTACGAGGAATAGGAAAAAGGATGTATCCTGTTGCACTCCTTACCAGATCAATGAATCTCCTCTGTGTACAGGAGTGACCACAGATGGCGCCGTGAACAGCATACAAATGTAGAAGGATGTCACCAGCACACCAATTGAAGTGATTAGCAAAAGTCTGTTTTAATGCAAAATTGCCATTCAATTTGCAAGTGCTTTTGGGGCCTCAAGGGGTCCCCTTCATCAGGCTCGTCATTCTGAGCCTGATGAAGGGGACCCCTTGAGGCCCCGAAAGCGCTTGACATACACTACATTTTCAACACATTTTTATATTTTTAAGAGGAATTTAACATACCAGGGCCCTGGTTAGCCTTACACATTAAAAGAGTATAATCACCATATTTACAAACACTTTAAAAAAAGCTATAGGAGATGATCCATTACGTAATGTTAAATCATCCCTTTTAGGTCTGCAGGAGGCATGCACTGATCTAATAGGCAGCTCTACAACCAACTGAAAGCGTTTGTACTGCAGGCAGCTCTACAACCAACTGAAGTTGCTGAGGGTGATTGTACTGCTGGCAGCTGGACGACCAACTGAAGGTGCTTGTACTGCAGGCAGCTGTATGACCAACTGAAGGTGCTTGTACTGCAGGCAGCTCTACGACCAACTGAAAGCGCTTGTACTGCAGGCAGCTCTACAACCAACTGAAAGCGCTTGTACTGCAGGCACCTCTACAACCAACTGAAATTGCTTGTACTGCAGGCAGCTCTGCAACCAACTGAAGGCACTTGCACTGCAGGCAGCTGTATGACCAACTGAAGGTGCTTGTACTGCAGGCAGCTCTACAACCAACTGAAAGCGCTTGTACTGCAGGCACCTCTACAACCAACTGAAATTGCTTGTACTGCAGGCAGCTCTGCAACCAACTGAAGGCACTTGCACTGCAGGCAGCTGTATGACCAACTGAAGGTGCTTGTACTGCAGGCAGCTCTATGACCAACTGAAGGTGCTTGTACTGCAGGCAGCTGTATGACCAACTGAAGGTGCTTGTACTGCTGGCAGCTCGACGACCAACTGAAGGTGCTTGTACTGCAGGCAGCTGTATGACCAACTGAAGGTGCTTGTACTGCAGGCAGCTCTATGACCAACTGAAGGTGATTGTACTGCTGGCAGCTCGACGACCAACTGAAGGTGCTTGTACTGCAGGCAGCTGTATGACCAACTGAAGGTGCTTGTACTGCAGGCAGCTCTATGACCAACTGAAGGTGCTTGTACTGCAGGCAGCTGTATGACCAACTGAAGGTGCTTGTACTGCAGGCAGCTCTATGACCAACTGAAGGTGCTTGTACTGCAGGCAGCTGTATGACCAACTGAAGGTGCTTGTACTGCAGGCAGCTCTATGACCAACTGAAGGTGCTTGTACTGCAGGCAGCTGTATGACCAACTGAAGGTGCTTGTACTGCAGGCAGCTCTATGACCAACTGAAGGTGCTTGTACTGCAGGCAGCTCTATGACCAACTGAAGGTGCTTGTACTGCAGGCAGCTCTATGACCAACTGAAGGTGCTTGTACTGCAGGCAGCTCTATGACCAACTGAAGGTGCTTGTACTGCAGGCAGCTCTATGACCAACTGAAGGTGCTTGTACTGCAGGCAGCTCTATGACCAACTGAAGGTGCTTGTACTGCAGGCAGCTCTATGACCAACTGAAGGTGCTTGTACTGCAGGCAGCTCTATGACCAACTGAAGGTGC